TAAATTACACTTTTATTGATGATTTTTTCTTGTTCTAAATATTTTGGCTTTTCGTAATGATTAAGATTTATTTTTTTTTTGTTTATTTAACATAGAGCTATTAAAATTTAAAAAGAAAAGTTTATATCAGAATATTTTAAAGGCCGGGAAATTTATAGTAGTCTAGAAGTAAATAATATTCGCCTCCTTCGGTAAAAAGTTTATATTATTAATGTTCACATTGCTAAACTACCAGCTTGAGGTGCTTTTTTTAAATTATATATTCTATTTTTAAAAATAACTTATTTACGCATTAGTTACAAAATTAATCCCCACCATTCTTCAATCCCCTACTTTACCATATATTTTAATTCTTATTTAAAGTTGTATTTTATTACTCCATTACTTTATTTTAGTTCCATTTAACTTGATACCCTCAGTTATTTTCTTAATTAAAAAATGATTATTACATAAACTTTCTTTTACACACTTGATAATAGTTATAAATCAAAAACTATTTAGACTCCGTTTATTATATTATTATATTATTATATTATTATATTATTATATTATTATATTATTATATTATTATATTATTATATTATTATATTATTATATTATTATATTATTATATTAATTATTATATTATTATATTATTAATTATATTATTATATTATTATTATTTAATATAAAATGACAATTCGGGCTATTCCATATTTTTATTCTGCATAAAATTAATATAAAGAACAAAATATCTAAAAACATTTATTAAAAATATTTCTATAAATTAGTTTATTTGGTGTTCTTTTTTCCATTCCTACATTTTTCAACGCGCTTCTTCCACAGCTTATTTCTCTTTCTCAAGACGTTATTTATGCGTCTAAATTTACCAATCTTGTCATGCAAGTTAACGTTTTCGTCCTCGACGTTATTTAAATTATTTAAAATTTCTATCTTATCTTTTGCCATTTTTTCATAATTATGGGTACAGCTGGTAAAATTATTCTTGGTGATTATCATAACTTTTTCCATTTCGACTAACCTATTCGCCCTCACTCCAACCAATCTTGAACATTGCAGTTCGTTGTCGATAAGGGTTCGCCTAAGATTCAAAATTTCGTGGTCTCGCCTACAAATAAAAATAATTTGTTATAAATCTAATAGGGGGATTAAAATTTACATTAAATTTGATAAGTTAAAAGGTTCATATAAGGAGGAGTAGCTATAGATAAGTTCAAGGTTAATGCAAAGCTTAAAATTTGAAAATTAACTTTCCTTAATCTACTTTTAAACATTTTTATATGTAGTAAAGATTTAAACTTAAGGTTGAGTTTCAAAAGTGTAAAACGTGGTGGTATTATTTATGTGAAATACACTCTATTAATAAATACTTTGATATATTGGTAATAGTGTAAGTAAATTTTAATTGTTTTTAGTGAGGATATTTTTTCAACGCATATATATATATATATATATATATATATATATATATATATATATATATATATATTTAATTGATGTAAATTGCTAATTAATAGTAGATTCACTTTTAATTTTAAAATTTTTATCATTAGTTTACACATATGTTAGTTTCCGAGAACGAGTTTAATTAAGGTTTTAAAATTACAAAACAAAAAAAACAATTCGGATTTAAAAAGCTAACATTATCTATGTAAATAGAGGTTCCAAATAATTATATATTTCCTCTTTTAAATATAAAATGATTTTTAAAAATATATGTTTAGATTTTGTCAATATAACGTAATGTTTTCTGCATATTTTTGGTATTTTAATTTACCAAAATTATAATAACTTACCCAACAATATCATCAGCTTTATTTTGGGTTTTTATTGAACATGCTTCTTTCCATAATGCTACATCATTTTTTAAATCATGGTTGACTTTTTGAAGCGCCTCCACTTCGCGGTGAAGAAGAATTTTTTCTTCTTCGCACCTATTATATTGGCCCGATACCGTCACAATAAACATAAAAAACAAGCAAATATAAGAATACATGATGTATGTTCAGATTACTGGTTGATACTAAAAATACATCTTAATGTTCATACCTTAATATTACATAATCTTGTAAAGGCGAAATTTAACACCTTACTAGGAAAGAATCATATTTAAAAGCTTGTGAGTTTTCTTAAGGTAAAATTGCAAAAATATTGTAATTCCTACTAAGCGTAAACGTAATGAGATATGATTGTCTTTCTTAAACTTATTTTATCTGTATTTTCCCATGTTTTAAAACAAAAACCATAAATATAGTCTACATCACTTAACGAAATAAAAAGTATAGAATTAAAACTATAATGAATTAAAAATAAAAGAGATTATACACATATGCATGGGTGCCGTTCTATTTTATGATTCTCACGCAAGAAAAATTTTAAAAATGATAAAATATTGAGTACAACACTACGCAGCTAACAAGCTTTTGAGCGCGAAAATTTTTTATTTGCCAGAAGGCGTTGACTATTCGAACTAAACCCTGTCCTTAAAAAAATAATATTGTAAGAAATAAAAACAAAATGTTCTATACATATATACACAGAGGTTTGCAGAATACATTAGTTGCTCTGAATAATTTGTTTAGAAAACTTGGGCTGAAAAAGTCTGCTTGCTCCTCCGAATCGCTTTTATAATGGGTCCCAACAAGTCTACGGATAACAAAGTAAAACGTGTGAAACTTGTGTCTCATTTTAAAAAACCTGCAAACAAAAATCATTTTTACAAAATGTCTAATATCGCCGATAGTGTCATCGAGATATGTGATGATTCTTTTCCGAGTAAAGAGAGCCCTAAAAAAGTGTTATCCGGTGAGCAAATTCTTGTTGCTTCTATTCAAGACCTGGTCAGTCAAGATTATTCGATCAATCCAGTGCCGGAACAGTCTGTGAATCATGCTATGGTGAGTCAAGACTGTCTGACTTTCAACCAAATGCCGCCATTACCGAAGCTATCTGAGAATCAAGAATTGGTGAGTCAAGACTCTAATTATTCGTGTTTCAACCCGATACCGGGATCTTCGAAGCAAGATTTTGACCACCAAGGCTCTACTAATTCAGCTTTTAATCATTTTAACCAACCGAATCAGGATTTTATCGCTCCATTGGCTGCACACTGGAGTTCGGATCCTTTGCCGATATATTTGAATCCTGAATACGATAATATAAGTGATGCTGAAAACGAAAAGGCCCCTGGGGAGAAGTATGGCGAAGATTTGATTTTAAAGAAATATTTAAGTGAGATTAGTGAGATACATTATAAAACAAACACTTTTTTAAAACTTAAAATGAAGGAGCGCGACGAAATTTTAAATGAAATCAATAAATGTCAGAAATCCCTTCAAACTTTCGGTCAAATGTATCGAAATATCAATAGTTGTATTTTATTTGCTGAAGCCCTGGCCAAAAGTTTTGATTTAAATAATATTAATAAGGAGCATTAGAAGTTGTATAGTAACTGCACGCAAAATATTTTACTTGTATATTTTTTGTATTCCTTTCTTTTAAAATTATGTTGGAAAATGAATAAATATAAACATAGTAAATATAAAAATATTTTAATTCCTATATAAGATATTTTATTTTAATAATATACCGCTAATTTGACGAAAACCTGAATAATTTTGAAACAAACAAAGTTTAAAATTTTTGGAGCTCGTTTAGAAAATTTAAAATATAGGTAACTAAGTAAATGAAACTTTTTACTGTAAATTTTTAAACTCTATAACTATTAAAGTTATGAACTTTTTTTCAATCATTTCCAAAATTTAATCAATACTGAGAAACGAACATACGCTTTTTATTTTTTTATCAAATTTGACATATAAGAAGCTGAAATACTTTTTATAAATATTTTCTATACTTTGGGCAAATAAACATTAATTCCTCCACCCCACCCCACTTAAAGGTAATACTTTTTTTAAATTAACTTTTAAATGGGGAACTTAGAGAATTCCTACAAATTTAAATAAAATAAGAAGAACTTTGGATCGTACGTTGGTAACAGAAGAAGAAACTGAACAATTTTAAAAAAGAAATTTTTTTAAGACGGTTTGCCCTTATTTATTGTGGAGTCTGACTATTGGTGGGGGTAAGAAGTAGTTCTTCTATCTCCTTTTCCCTTTTATACTAATAATTAAATAAAAAGTTTTTTAATTAGCTTGTATAATCATCTGTTTAATTCTTCCGTTATGCGAATTTCTGGTCATGTTTCATTTAAAGGTTCAAGTTCACTACAATGCACATATGTTCTGAATGTTTACGTAATGGAAATAAAAAGTAATTTTTATAAATGAATTGAAATATCTAAATATTATAAAATTCTTAAGATTTGGAAATTCTTTTCAATTTTTTAATTAGCTTGATTTAGAATTTATCTATTTTTCCCGCGTAAAATTGCCGGTATGTGAAGTCGCGAAAAAAAGTTTGTAATTATCAGATGGCTAATATACTCTGCATCTTTCTCCGATTAAAAAAGTTCATCGTTTTTTGCTCAGCTGTTCTCTACGATATAAACACAAATGATATTTGATATAAATCAGAGGCGTGTCGAGGGAATAAAAAAGTATTAAAATTTTCAGTGCGTATATTTATTAAAATATAAAATACAATTAGCCGTACTTAGAGCAATTTATCTTTTATTTATCGGTTATATTTTATTATAATATACAATTAACAAACAGTTTATAAGCAGTGGCGGTATAAGTTTTAATTTGTTTTATCTTTGGGCTATCGCATAAGGTGCTTATGCTGTACCTCAATAGTTATAATTCGTTATTTTCTAAGAATTTTCTGCCTCCTACGTAAGATTCAGCACAATATCCCCTTCAATCCCACTGATTGTTTTAGAATCAAAAATTTAAGAAGTTAATTGATACACATTAAGAAACCTACTATAGAATTGAATCTGTTACACACATACTAGCTAGTTCTTTTTAATTCTAGCTTAATGGAGGTAATGTAGAAGCGATATGGAAATTGCATTTTTAATTATGGTGTGTTAAGAAATGATGGTTTTATTCCCTAATAATTTAGCTTCCTGCAAGTAATACGGATAGATTCTAACAAAAACAAAAATTGGTTATTCCATAGATAACCATATAAAAATATGCTTGATTGCGGATTAAAAAACTCTAAAATATTTTCATTTATCAAATTAATGTGAATCTTTAAATTAGAAATAATAATTAAAAAAATAAAGGCATGAATTAAAAATTGATAACGCAAAGGTTTACTGTTCTTTCCCTGCTGGTAAAATTGTAAGTATCACTTATTGATGGAGCCTAGTATATTGTAAGTTGATATGATAATATTGATAATGAAAAAAATTATCAAAGGGTTGATATCGAAGTCAAATAAATTTACTTTTAAATATCTATCATGAATATTATGAAATATGTATACCTATTGTAAGATTCTTCATTACATGATTTCGTTTTAATTTATGTTAATTGCTAATTAAATAGTCAGGGGTACGGGGTGGGTTCTCCTATTTTCTTCAGAATTTGTAAAAATAATTTTATCATCTGTTAAATCGCATTTTTTGAACAATATGTAGTAATTTAATATTTTTAAATTTTGGCTCTAAATAGTTCATTAAATTCAACCGTCTAGGAAAGGTAGTTAATATAAATATTTAATTCCATTTTTCCGTTTTCCCTGTATAATACATTTAGAACATGGTATCTCACACATATGTTTTAACTTGGCACAATCGCTATATTCCAAAAATCACAACGTCGCATATCAGTATGTTTAATACTATAACTTTGATACAATTAATTCTTAATAATTAAAGACATTGCAAACCTCTAATTATATAACACCTCTAACAAGCAATATTTACCGACACCATATTAAATTGACCTATAAATCTGTTTAAAGTTCTATACCCTATGTTCTATATATAGAAACATGTGTCGCAGTCTGTTCATGACCTACCGCAATTTTAAATTCAATCCCTCGCTTCTGAATGAGGGAGAACCGGTGCATCGTATAGCGCGTGACCTTGATTTGGACAAAAAAGTGCAGAATGGACCTTAAATTTTCTTATGGAGATTTACATGTAAAAAGGGGGTAAATTGCGCTCGAATCAGTGCTGCTCCTTTACTAATATTGCCCCGGTACTGCTCAATTTTCCGTTCGATTTCTACGAACCGTCACTCGTGCCAACCGTGGCTCGTACCGTTATCGAAACTACTTCTTATTTTGAGTGGCACTTGACCAGAGGCACATACAGCCACTTACTTTGTTCAGAGGCACATACAGCCACTTATTTTTAAGGGGATATCTTTTTTTTATGTAAATAATGGTTATTTTGGGGATTTAATAAATCTAAAGATTTTAAAGTATCGTATTTAGGATAAATTATATAAGTAATTAATTTCATACCGTAATATTATCGTACACCGCTGGTACTATGGTACGACTGGCTGAGTTTCTTTTGTTGTACAGGCCTTGTTAGGTAGAAAGAAAAATTTGATGTCTTTGATTTTTGGGACGAAAATCTCTTTCTTACTTCCTGATTGTTGAGCCGGTAAGACAGCCATACCATATTAGCACCCTTTTTAGTTGGTGGAGTAAGTGTAGGCTGTTTTGGAAAAGTTTCCAATTTGTTTCGGTGATAATTTTGTGTAGTACTTATTGTTATTTGGGACAATTGTTACGGAAACTACTCCGATTGTGGAGTTTGCATTTTAGTAATTTTAAAACATAAACAATAATTATTAAAATACAAACTTTGTCAAAACCATGAGAGTAAATCGAGTGTTATCAAGGGTACTTTTTTGTAGTAAATGAGTACCCAATCCAAATTTCATACTCAAACCCCTTTTCTGCCATTGGCGTAGAATTTTTAAAGGTTCAATTATTTAAAAAATCAAGTTCTACGCCTATGTATTATTATCGGACAAAATTTTATACGATGAAAAAAATATAAATGTACTTTTTTCATATCTTCTTCAACACCTCTAATCCAGACTTTTAACAAAAATACTCGATTCTTACCATGAACGATTTTTTGAGGAATATTAATTATTTGCCTGCAATACGTATACAAAAACATTTATTGTTGGTTTCCATAGTTTCATCTAAATAAAAATATTGTCAAGTTTTAACATCTAATCTCTTGTTAACGATTGTAAGTGTTCTATCTGACTCAATAATTAAAAAAACTAATGCGTGGTTTATTAATATGGCTGTACAATATACCAATGCAGAATATACCTATATGTTACTGACATTAGGATTTTGTGAAGGAAATGCTCTCGAGTGTCAGGGTGTACTCTGAAAGGTTTCCAAATCGTCGTGTACCTAGCCAGCCAACTTTTGCTGCTGTTGAGAGACGTCTTCGGGAGACCGGTTCCTTTGCTCCCAACACTGTTGATAATGGAAGAGAACGTTTTGTAAGGATTCCTGAAGTTGAAGAAGACATTTTAGAACGTGTTGAAGAAGATCCAGAATTAAGCACCAGACGAATTGGAAGGGAACTAGGAGTAAGTAAAGATGTCGTTCATAAAGTGCTTAGAGAACAATTGCTATATCCATACCATAAGAAGCCAGTACAAGAATTATTAGTCTATGATCCTCAAATTCGTTTGGGTTTTTATCGATTTGTTAATATGCAAAGAGAAAGAGATCCAAACTTTGTCAAGAAGGTTCTCTTTACCGATGAAGCGGGTTTTACAAGAGGTATAACTAATACCCATAATGAACATGTTTATGCCGTTGAAAATCCGCATGCAATAAAGGTAAACCATTTTCAGCACGAATTCAAAATTAATGTGTGGGCTGGAATAATTGGTAATTTCATTGTTGGTCCTGTCATACTTCCACGAAGATTAACTGGAGAAAATTATTTGGATTTTCTACAAAATACGTTGCCAGAATTGTTAGAAGATTTACCTCTCCAACTTCGGAGAGATAATGTGGTTTATGCAAGATGGAGATCCACCACATTTTTCTTTAAACGTTAGAAACCACTTGAATGAACAATATCCACACAAGTGGATAGGCAGAGGTAATGACGCACCTGTAAACTGGTCACCACGTTCCCCAGACCTAACACCGATGGATTACTTTTTATGGGGACATCTGAAATCTACAGTTTACAGGGAACCTGTAGAAAACGAGGAACAACGTATTCAAGATGCAATAAACAATCTTAGAGGTGATGGAAGAAGTTATGGAAAGGATACATTTTAATTTTCTTCGACGTATAAATCTTTGTATGCGTGAAAATGGTGAACATTTTGAACAATTTTTGCAAAATCTCTATTTTGATTATGTTGTAAATAAATATTTTTGTGAAACCTATACACTCTAAATTATTAAAACAGAAATTTAGCGAAAACCATGAGAGATATCGAGTCTTATCAACAGTACCTTTTTTTAAAGTAAATGAGTTGCGCAATCTAAATTTCATACTCAAACTCCTTTTCTTCCATTGACGTAGAATTTTTAAAGGTGCATTTAAAAATCAAGTTCTACGCCTATGTATTATTATCGGACAAAATTTTAATACCATTTTTTCGCCACATAAAACTCTACCAATATACCAAATTTCAGCAAAATCGCATATGCCGTTTTAAATTTATATGGGAAAAACCGATTTAAAAATTGTAACTTCAAGGCCCTCTGGAGCCCAAACGAAGCAACTTTGTACTAAGGTAATTTTACTTAAATCGACTTATTTTGGTCTAAGGAATATGTGGTATGTTTTTGTAAAGACCTTTTACAGACACCCTGTATACAGGGTGTTAAAAAAAAAGTGTCACAAAATAAAACGGGGGTAGTATGGGCCAAAATATGCAGAAAAGTCTTAATAAACATATGTCCGCAAATGAATGGTTTCAGAGATACGGAGTGTTTTGTGTTTTATATCATTTTTTGATTATCTTTTTTCATTCTCAAAAACTTGCTTTTTTTATCGGAGTCTACCGATGTTTTTTCATAGATACTATTTGCAGTTATTATATTGTTGTGGGTGAATAATTTTATAAATTTTCGTTATGCCTGTTTACACTAATATTGAATTAGCTGACATGCATTTTATGTACGGTCGTGCAAATGGCAATGCGAGGGAAGCGCTACGTCAGTATATCGACGCTTTCCCTAATCGCCACATCCCTTCAGTTCGTGTGTTTGGAAGATTGCACCAAAGATTACGTGATACAGTTAATTTGGAAAACAGTCACATGATTCCGGGAGACCAAGGTCGGTGTCCACCCCTGAGGCATAAGAAGCAATTTTAGCACGAGTAGAAGAGAATCCAGAAACTAGTGTGCGAAGAATATCAGCGGAGGTAGGAATTGGGGCTCCTCTGGTTTGGAGAATCCTCCACGAGCAGCAGCTTTACCCGTACCATCTTCAACGAGTGCAAGCTCTGAATGCACCTGATTATCAAGCACGTTTGGAGTTTTGTCGATGGTTTCTGAGAAATGTACGCCACTCCTGTGAATAACCTCGAAGAGCTGCAGCAACGAATAGAGCAGGGATGTCATCGAATCCTAGCCAATGAGGGTGTTTTGGAAAGAGTCCGACAGTCCTTTCGGAGATGTCGTAGCTGCATTGAAATGGAGGGAGGGCACTTTGAACATCTCATTTAGCTCTATGTTGTTATTGATTGTTTATAAATATCATTGTTTTTTTATAATAGTACAAAATTGTTATAAACACAAAATGGTCCGTATCTCCGAAACCGTTAATTTGCGGTCATATATTTATTAAGACTTTTCTGCTTATTTTGGGTCATACTATTCACCATTTCATTTTGTGACACTTTTTTTTTAACACCCTGTATACTGGTAATTTAATCGACTGGTTGGATGCTGCGTCGCATGTTAGCGGGAACGCACACGCCATTTTCAAAGAGGAACGAGGAGACATGGTGGCCATTATGGCACGTACTAATTTTATGCTGTGGGGACTTTTATCAACTGGATCATGGTCTACAACTTCTAGACTGTCCTGGATTGTCTGAGACCGCTCCCACTCAGAGCGTAGCGTGGAAATACCATTCTGCCCATTACCTCGAGCCCTAGGCAA